GTCACCGGGAACTGACGAGCCGGTATGACCTGGGAGTCGGAGTGGAACAGGCCCAACTCCGGCGAAACGGGAGCTCTGACGGAACCTGTCAGATACTGCGATAACTTAACGGATCCTGTCCATTTTTGGAGTCGCGTAAAAACAGCAAACGCAACTGGATGCTCGGACAGGAGCGGACGGTTACGGAAATACACGGCCGCTCAGGCTGCTAGGTTGAGGTAGAGAAGGTCGGAGTAAGAGTCAGACAAATAGTGCGAGATACAGAGAGCAACGGATCGAGAACGTAACGGAACGAATCTGAACTATCAAAATCGAAATCCCTTCACCAACTAATAAATTGGGAGTCCTCACCGGAGCTGGTGCAGCTAATCCGTGAAGGCCGAGAACTGTATCCAGAGGACGGTCAGGGCGGACACAGCACTACACCTCCGGATTCCGGGATACACTCAGAAAATCCTGGTTGAATTTCCTGGATGTCGTGACAGCGACGCGAGAACTACACGAGCGAGAACTTTCTATGCCATATCGAAACACAGCTAGAAAAACTATCAACAGATAGCACGGGAGCTCGAGGCAGTTCGTGACACCTCGGTCGGTGCCCCGAGACAGACTGCTTTGACAAAATAGCCAAATTCGAGAACTAATCGTTCTGATTGGTCGAGATCCTTATAGCCGATACCTTTTTTTTTCCTCCAGTCGTCCCTTTGATCCAAACCGAGAGCGTTCCTTAGCGGATCGTTACGTAACTCCTGGAGATCCTCCACGACCGCTTCCCCAGGTCATCGGGCGACAGTTGGGCATAGCATCCTTAACTCGGGTCAGGGGGTTCCTCCTCTGCCCTCAACCGTATCAAAACCATATCTCCGCCCGCTCTACAGCCCTTTGCCCGTCTCCAGCGAGGCTCCGGTATCTCACCCGGGCTTCTACCGGTCCGTGGAGACGTCTCCGTCGGGTACTCTCCTCTGCCGGGCAACTCGGTACGTCGAGACTATCTCCCCACGGCAGATTCGAGCACCTCGACCTCAACTAAACGATATCAAATCCTCCGAGAGCATTGGCGTAGCTATACGAATTCCAAGCAGGGTGGCGACTCTAAGGGAACCAGAAAGCGAGAACGTTATCTGAATCGGTAGCCGGAGTTGCGTTGTGATGATGAATGAAAAAATTACGTCAAACTTTTTATCACGGGCAAAGTCATGACTTAGTAATGACGCGAAAATCAAGTAGCACAAAAGTCAGGGGTTGATGTGTCAAGCGACGAAAGTAAAATCAGCTACATTTGAATGTCTCGGTTGACACTTGACATTTGCGCTTAACGGAACCCATTAGTTCCAATTTTAAACGTCCGCCGCTTTTAAATTAATTTATTACACCAGAGTGGTATTTTCGAATAAAAAGCTATGGTCCATTCGATAATTTTAAATATCCATCGGAAGGTATCAGAAAATACAAATATGTTCAGCGATGCCAAAGGCGACGCTCACGACTTTGTGTCTGTATGAAAAATAAATTTTTTTTTCTTCTTTCATCGTGCGTCTCTCTTTCTCGAAATTCCTTCCGGGCGGAAGATCAGATTTTTATTTCCCTCTATTATCAGAATCTCGGCCAAGTAATTTCTCAATGGTGCAGCCGGAAGCTACTCCGATATATCTTAGGGTCTCTGGCAGATCCCAGCCGCTTGCCTTGATGGTGAAGCTCAATTTATATCAGCACCCGTTCAAACCCCCTTTACGAGGTCTCACCTTCCTCAGTTTCACCCTAACCTCAAACCATCATCCGCCCCTGAAGCTCGAGCCCTCGCCGTCATCTCTTAGGACCCCAAGGGCTCGAGGATCTTTTTTTCGCCAAGTTAGACTAAGCTATCCAGGATTGCCGAAAAACAAATAGAAAAGTCTCGTCACCTTCAAATATTTGTCGCTCTTGGGCTCCGACCTTCGCTCCCTCTACCAGCACAACCTGACCTTTAGTGGTAACCAAAGGATACCAAGATACGACTACCATCAGCTTTACCCATACTCGATTGCATAACAATTTACTCGAGCTGTACCTCGACCTCGTTCTACGAGCATATATAAGATCTGCCTAAAGTTCTTTGGAAACGGCCAAACCACCCTACTCGTACTCTTGGCGTGATTCTCCATCTCCAGGTGCCTGGATGGACAGCTGCCTTGGCGCACGCGCTCCCATCCGTATCCTGCGGTGATTGATCAATTTTTAAAAAGCAACTCGCCTAATTGACCAGCCGAACGATGATCGTGCGCCACTTTCTAGCTGGTCTTAGTCATCGAAAGGTGTGTTCCGATCGGTTTGATCCTCTGCTTACCGGTTTAACAGTTGCTGCGATCACTTTGCACGTGGCTTACCCTTTTAATCCGATCATTCGTATGCCCTTCTGCACTCCTCCTGACCGATCCTGATGAATGTACCTTGTTTGAGCTGAACAAGCTGCTCCACGGATGAATTAGTCAGGATGACTTTGTAATACTTGACCCACGTACTCGGGATCCACGTCGGATCATTGGATCTATTTAATTCACTAAACCAGATTAATTTTAAACTTTCATATAAAATTTCACAGAGCTTTATTAAGCGTCCAATTAAAAATAGTCGAAAATATACCTCTGCAATAGACTCCACGCGGTCCTAGCTCTCGAGCTGTGAGGGATGGTTGAACCCTGCCGATCATATTTGTTGGTTTTTTTTTTGGTTTTTCTTTTTTTTTTCTTCACCAAGCGTGTAAGTGCGAATTATCCACGGGCTTTTAGCCGTAGCTCTAGCATGAAATCTGTGCAACCACACCCACCGGGTAGAGGAGGAGGCTGAGAGGTGAAGGGGGGGTTGAATGGGGTCGGGGGTGTGGAAGGCGCGCTTGGCTCGTCTACGGGATTCAAGGGGATGCGAAAGGGGACGGTAGCACGAGTAGAAGAGGGTGTATCACAAGGAGGGTTGCAAAAGGGAGACAGAGCGTATCGTTTACAAGCTACCTTGCTTTCAAGGTGGCTGCTGCTAAAACGAAGGGAAGAAAGGAAGGGACAAGTCGGGGGTTAAAGGTGAAGCTGAGGCTAGTCAAGGGATCTCGGAGATGGTGCCCGCCGGCACGCCCTCTGTTCTAAGGGTAGTTTCTTCTTTATTGGATCCTCCGTATGCGCCAGAGCAATATGGTTATTGGCATTTTAAACGAGTCTCGAATAAACCCTCTCGCGAGACGAAGCCGGAGGAGGCTCTGATGAAGAATATAGCAGCGCGCCACTCCCTATAAAAATATAAAAATTAATTAATTATTTTCAAAGAAAATATTCATCCCTTGACAATCTATTTGCCGTATAAAAAATCTTTTTCCTTATCCTCTCCAAAGACGTTTGACTCCTAGCAATGGCAGCTTCTGCAGGAACGTGACGTTTCTCGCAGACGGTAGAACCCTGACGGTAGACCCTGGTGCGGAGTGTAACCTGCAAATCCCATATATCCAATTAGATTCGTATAATCCCTGTATGCTGTAGGAGGTAGAAGGGCGTCGGGGTATGTACGGTGTTCGAATCGCGAGAACGCGTGCGCTGCCCGCACGCTAATGCTAAAGTACTAATTTATGGGCACATATGAAATGGGCTATGGCGCCCACCGCGAACCAGGAAAGGGACTCTAGGCTACGAGCCCCGGGTATATCGGAGAACACGGGGACGGGCTTTGCATGCGATATCAATAAATCAAGTCCCCAGGACCTCGCAGCTTAGGGGCCACTACGTGGCCAGAATCAACAGCTCATAACGTTGGCTAATAGCTGCTGCCGTTGGGGTTCGAAGATATTGTTGTAACATCAAGGAACAACCCCATTCCTACCCTATAGGACTCCACCGAGTTTGATTCTTCATTGCTACCCTCGTGCGACCCCACCAGGATAACCTGGACTATACCCTCTTCTGGCTTTATACGCTATATTTTCTTGACTGTCAGCTTCATGACAATACGTAAACGTGTACATGTTCCATTTTAGGTGTGGTTTCAAAATCGACGTGCCAAATGGAAGAAGCGCAAGAAGACTACCAACGTCTTCAGATCACCAGGTGCTCTACTACCATCTCACGGTCTGCCACCCTTTGGAGCTATGAGTTCTGAACTCTGTGGAGCTGCCGGGATGTTTCATGCTCCCACCGATCGATGGGGTATGGGTCCAGGTTGGTAGTTGAGGCTGTTATCATTTTTGGTATGTATAATTTTGTGAAATTTTTTTTTCATCACCTCAGGCCTTAGTCAGCTGAGTCAAGGTGGCATGGGCATGGGTGGCTTTGGACAGAGTTTGGGTCAACTTGGACAACAAAGTTCCGGAAGTCTGGGCACCAGCTTGGGACTCAGTAATTCCGGCTTACCAATCAGCAGTCCATCCCAATCCGTCTATCAAGCTAGTTACGGTTTGAATTCACTTGGTGAGTCTTTGGTGGCTTCCTCATTCTTTATCGTAGGCACGTTTGCTCTTGGATTCTGGTACGACCTGTATATATTTATAGAGTATGATTTCTGTGAAGGGCAATCATAAAATTCTAAATTCTTTATTTGTACATGATTTTTCGGAAAGGAAGCTCACCAGGGTCCACGATGTGATCCTGAAGGGTGAGCGAACGTCCAAAGGTACCTGCATCCTATCCTTCTTCTTGGACTTTCTCGTCACTCTCTGCCCACAAGGAATTTGAGACAGAAACATAAACTTCATTCTTGTGTTTACGCAGGCAGACCTCAAGGTGGTCGCACCTAGGTGCGAGATCTTTCACTGTGTATTTACCATTACGTCCTGATGCACAGTCTGTCTCGGTTGAGGTGCACTTCACGTGGAACCGGGTCCACTTTGTCCATTTCCAAGCAGCAAAATTCATTGACCATCGTTATTGGTACTGTTGTAAAAATATCGCGAAATTTTACGTATGTCGTTCTTTATTTTCTGAAAAAAAAAAAAAATTGAAATATATGCTGGACATTAACATTTTTTTAACATGCATAACGGTACACGGTTACGCCTCTTGTGCATAATACATTTTGAACAACTCCCGGCTATACGTTATTCGTGTAAAAAGCCCCAAAAGAATGGCTTAAAAGTATCTTGAAATCGTTTCGTCTTAAACGCGACCTAGAAAAGTAATAGTTTCACATTGTAATTCTTTAAAAGACGACGATTCGCGCAAGTGAAAATTATGCAAGTATTCGCGTCCAAGACTTTTCGCCCCTGTCGTTCACTAATTGGTCCACTCGAAGAAACCGTAGCGAAGACTTCGGACGCGTTACTACAATTTCACAACCAGAAACTTATATGTACCGAGATACGTAACGCGCGCGCACCGTGTCAATTACCATACATTATCACCAGTCGAGCTTCTTAGCTGCGTTACTTAAAAATATGCCCTCGCCGTGTTACAACTGTCTCTCGCGAAGCGGGAGTACAGCTGGAGCTCGAGGAGTCACGGCGGATGACGAAGAGGCAATAGTTGGTCGTTGGTTTGCAGTAACCGCCTTTACGCGGCGGTAACACATCGGGCAAACAGCTTTTAGAGCGAGGCTTATTTTTCGGTTTTCAATGATGATTAGCACTTTCGAAATGCGATGGTTCGGTCGGTTCCACCAATTGTGCTGCCCTCTGTCGCCGCAAACAAGACTCTATGAGGTGTAAATTAACACATTTCAAAATGCCCGATTTATTGGCCGTTATGCTCTCCACTCTTAATGCCCACACAAAAGTTATTCCCATGTAAAATAAGTATCCGTGTATGCAGGTTGTACCGGATGATTAATAAATTATAAGGAAAGTAAATTTTCTTACCGGTCTCATACTCTGGTGGAATGATCTTTTTGAGGTTAGACCACGATTCGTAACGGACATTCCATCACATCCAGCTACGTGGATACCGAACAGGGATAGATTATAGGACTCCCTTAAATCCATTTGGTGTAAACCTTTTCGCGTACTTCTCAAGAAGACTTTTATCCTGGATAAACAGTGGCCCTATATGGAGGTGGATATCGTAAAAGGAACTTAAACGTAGAACCTAACCAAGAGGCCACCAACGTCGTGACCAGGATGGGAATGAGTTTACGACATCCAGTAGCCTCGGACGCACTTCGTAAGCCCTGCCTACCGTATTGACGTCCTCGGTCGGGCCCACCAAGAGAGGCGATCCTCTACACCTGCGATATCGCACCTGTAAATTGCCCTGGGTCACAGGAAACTCTAACCTAAAAGCAAATCCCATTTTGTACCAGAAAGCTTAATTTAAGCCACAAAAATGTTCGTTTAGACATGCAATTTCTAGTCCGTTCTCTTTTTAATCTCTCATTTATACCTAGGGGGTGTTCACGTGTCGGCGTCCCGTGGTTCGCCTCCTGGTGGCTCCTCCGTCGGCGGCGGTCAGGGTAGCAGTCTGGGATCGGGATTAAATTGCGGCCAAGGCTCGCCGGGTGCCGTTTCCGGTGGTGGAGTCTCCTGCGTCGGGACGGACGGAAACGGCGAAGCTTCGGACTGGAGAGGCGCTCACAGCATCGCGGCGCTTAGACGTCGTGCTTCCGACGCATCCCAGCAGTACAGTCCTCAACCACCACCTCCACCGCCACCTGGACCACCTCAGTACTCCCATGACCTGGAGTACAGTTCCGTCTACTGAGTGTCCCTTGGGCTTCCGTGATCATCCGACATGCTGATCGATCCTGCTGCTTCCTGATGCTCGATAACGTGGATTAATGCCGAGAGAGATTTCGCACAGCATCCATCTTCCTGTGGGACGCCAGGAACGCGACGGTGTCCTCCGGGTCTGTGCTGCGGACACGTAGACCCGTACCTTCTTCAGGAAGACCAACCAGACAGTGACGTCCTGACAGTGAATGAGGGTTTAGTTTTGGGTGCCTCCAGTACTGCAAATCATTAATGTATTATTAGTATCCTGTCTCCAGGATAATTGTACCAGCACTTTCTCCTGCGTAAATGCAGGAAGATGCTGGATCTGTTTTTTTATCAGGAACAGTGGTAGCTTACGGTAGTAGCTGGACATATACTTCTTTCTTTCTTTCCCGTTCTTTTTCTTTCTCTTTTCCAATGTCGACTGGCCAGTTTGAACTTCTTGACGGATCGGTGCGACGGGCTTCTTACTAGTCAGAGAAAAACACAAAACTCCGCTTAATACATTACATTATAAATTATCCTATGAATTATGAAATTCATCTGTAGCAACGATGCTGCGCCTTTTTTTGCATCCTTCACAATTATCCGCATGCGTGGGAATCGTCTGAGCGAAGACTTTGCGATGAAGTGGCTGAAATCGATTTTACTGGAGAAAATAAAATATTTACTTCGTCGAGTCGTCCGCGCTGTACCGTCGGCTCGATAAAATCGCATCTGAAGCCGGAAGTATACGAAGAAATTTGCGTAACGTAAGTGAAGATTGTAAATAGAGGTGGCGGAGAGGGGAGAGTGATTAAAAAAATATCCACGTGACATTGCGACCACCGTTACCGATACCATGGTATGATAAAAAGTTATAATCGATCGGACGTCGCGACGCTGTTTATCATATTCATATTTTAAGATCAATCGATATCGGAAATTGGTTAGCGTTACGTAATCGTGTTGCATTCACCCAAAATAATCTTACATGATATCGAATTATATATCGATCGTTTTATTGTTGTCAGCGAAGCATAAGGTTTTTGTAAATAAAGGTATACGTGTAGCGATAAATATATCGATAAGTATATTATTAACAATAATAATTATTACGGACAAAACGCGAGTATACTTGGACATTGTGATATTTCCGGACGGTGCGCTGGGACCTTTTTTTTCTACCAGCGTCAACCCTCCGCCATGATATTGCAAATGGGCGCCGATCGCGGCGACGGCGACGATTTATTTAATCGCGAGAGGTCATAATATAGTGTGAGAGGTCACGAACAGGTACGGGGAGGAAATTGAATATTCTAGTTACGAATTTACAATAGTTATAGATAAAATTAACGGATAGAATTTAATTAACTTTAGGTAGTTATCAGTGTATCACTACAAACAACAACAAAAAAAAAAACGTATACGATTTTTAATGTACAAACAAGAATATAGGTGCAGGGTGATTTTTTTTTTTAAATATCGCCCTACCGTCGCTTTCATGCGGATGACTTTGTGGCTCGTGAAAAAAAAAGGGTTTTTTCTTTCACGCTCCAATCGAAAACCGATTCGCACTACCCTTTGCTTTTCAATGAATTTTCGCGTGCTTGGAAAGCTTTTCGAAATTTCGTTACACGCGTATCTGTTGGCACAGGGCGTTTTTCAGTATCTTTGAAAATCAAAGATAATTTTTTTCCTTTTAATCGACATGTTAATTATTCGTACATCGATTACGAACAAAAATGATATCAACGATTCTTTGAGATTTTGGAGTAATTTTTTGTTTCTTACAAAATTAATCAATAAAAGCAAACGTCTCCCCGAAGCGATCGATACCAAGTTCCTTGCAGTGTGTCTTTGAGTTTAATCATTGTTTTTCATCGTCGTAAGGGAAATGAAAAAAGAAATGATAGACGCGACACTCATCTCTCATTTTTCTCGGGACTGTTACATACGAGCATAGTTATATTATCGTCGTTATCGCGCACTTGTCACGAATCACTTTCCGTCAATGGCTTTAGCGAGAATTGATAAGTAAAAAAAATTTTTATTTCCATCGTTGTATAGTTGTGTATAGAGGTCAAATAAGTGTGTAAAATAAATCATTATCAAAATCTCGAGAAGTTGCGGCTTTTGTTATCCGTATGCATAATACATATGTTACATGTATATACTTCCTCGTTCAGCAGCATCGTCCAAAAAAAAAAAAAAAAAAAAAAAAAAAAATAAAGAATCCTGATAAATTGCCAATTATCGGTACTCTTACGTCTGAAAAAAAAAAGAGTCAAAATACACTTCTCTCCAATGTATCTATACGTACCATAAACATATGAGATCTTCGCTGCTACTCACGTGCTACCTGTAACGCTTTTGGTCAAATACTAATTGCCAAATAGCGACTGTTTGCACTGGCTCAATTTACGAAATAGAAACACGGAACCTTCGTGCGAAGAAACGCGTTAATTGATCGTGCAAACGGGAGAGTCGGCGAGGTATAAAATGTGCTCTAGAATGGCACGCCGTGTTCCTCGATGTCAGTCGCGGAGATCCGGAATGGCGAAATATTAAAAAGAGAATGAGAGAAACGTTAAACGGCACTCTTTGTACGACCCGCCATTGTTATTTACAATTGGCAGTATCTCTCGACAATGCACTAAATGCCTGTCGTAACAGTTAGAACAAATTTACTGGCTCTTAGCGTTATAAAGCGCCACTTAATAAAATCATTAACGGCTTATTTTACGCCATTTTGCATCCAGTTATCCTCATAAGGCTGTTCAAGCAGAAATATCATGAATGATCTTATTCAATTGTTTTCATTGGTTGTTTTAGCCCGCTTTGTAAATATTGTTGATTTATTAACGTGATCAAAGTTTTTTTTTTGTTGGTACTACGAAGGAATAACGATTATTTTTTATTGACGTGGACTCGGACTGTACAATGATTTTTTTCGTTCACTTTTCACGCCCCTTCTTCACGTAGAATATATGTATTACAATGGTAGAAACATTCACTTTTATTGAAAATATACATTTCACATTGTTGTATACATGAGATATAGGTATTCACAATTAGTTTTGATTTATCGTGTCTAGTAAATATGATGGCGCAAAGGAGAATATCGATTGATTGTGGTATATTGATTTATCGAGTTATTTGTATAGGAGTGTGCACTCTGATAGCACGTGTATTATTTGTTATTATATAACAGATTTAAATAATTTAATGGAACTTTTTATATGTATTTTTCATTGGAAATGGAAAATGTTTATTAAATATTTGGTAAGGTTGACATTTTTTTTCAGACATTCAGGAATACCCGTGAAAGTTATTTGGAATCTCTCGGTATGGCAATGGAATATACATTTACAGGTTTTTTCAAAATATTATCATCTTCAGATAGACTACTTTCGTATGTCTATGCTCACAGGGTGTAAAATTAATAATCAATAAAATCATATGAAAATATCGATGATAAAATGCTATTGCATCAATTTACCGATAATTAACGTACGGCTGTCGCGTAAAGTTTTTAAATCGTAGGAAGTTTTTGTCTGAGAAAATGGCGCTGTTCTTGTACTACGTTAATGAAAAATCAAAGTGGCGACTATTTTATAAAAAGTCCTCGGGTTTTAAGGCCGTAATTAGTCGACAGATAAAAACAAAAGGTTCACACTAAAATTAGAAATATATAATTCAATAAAGTGCGACAGGTAAACGTAAATGGAATTTACATTATTGATATTGTTTTACAAAGTACGAGGCCTCCATTTGATAAGTAACCTTATGCGGTTTATATTTGTGTAATTATTGTATCAGCTACTTAAGATTAATTAGTATGCGTTTGAGATTGAGGAGATGAGAATTATTAATTACTACTAAAATTTAGAATAAAAAAAATCATCAGTTTTTCTACGAACCAGTGACATTGCCGTTCATCCAATGTCTTCCTATTTGTTGCTTCCACTTGCGATAACTCATCATCCTCGATCCCTTTGTACACTGATGTAACATTAAGCGCGTCCAATTATCCAAATTTACACGAAAAGCCACCGAATTCATCTTATTTTAACAACAGAAGAAAAATGATCGTTGGGCTATAAGATATGTATTGCGTACATCGAATCAGCCTTTAGCAATAACAGCTGTTTATTTCTCTTACGAAAAAAAGGATCAGATATATATCATAACGTATGTCAAAGGATAATACGTGAGATGAATTTTTGTACAGGTTCAATTATATTTTTAGATTGAGCTAATTGATCGATAAATATTTCAACGCGTAGAGAAATGAAAAAGAAACAGGCAAAGTTTGTTTCGAATAAAACGATTCTGAAGCTTCGCACGTCATCCGCAATAGCGATTGTGTCGTAGTATTACGCGTGACGATTTTGGTTTTAAATGACTTTAGTCAAACTATTTTCTGGATGCTCGTCTTCAGACGTTTCCGGTTCGGTATTCAATTTACTGAAGTCACGAGTGTTTGGCCTTTTTTTAAAAAATTTGAAGCCTTTCGTCTTCCGGGTCTCCAACAGATTCGAAAGCTTGAAGTTTTCACGTCTTTCTGCCTCCCAGCGCATCCTTCTGCGCACCGTCAACAGGCATCCTGTTTTAAAAATTCACATCGGTTTATTTCGTGCATTTATTGCAAATTCGCGTCTGCATTTTTTCGGTTAATATTACTCGTTATGCATACTCACCTTCTTTTTTACTTTAATATTCAATTTTTTAGTGGTACTATACTATATAGTAGATTTCAAGGTGTGATAAATGTGCAAGTGAATACATAGTAGCCATAGGAGAAATAAATAAATGTGCTTGAAGACATTTATGTCACAATTTAATCTTCTACAATTAAAATAATTAAAAGAATCAAAACAGCAGAAAACATCAAAGAAGCAAAAGGTTGCATATACGTAACTACAAAAGGAATAGGAAACCTGGATAAGAAACTTAAGTATAATTCGCAACTACATGTATTTTTTTTTCGAATTTCAATAAATAATAAATCTAGTAGTAAAAATATAGGTAAGAATAACAAAGACACAAGTGCATGTAATGAATAAGTTTTACGAGGAGTAGATTCTCTAATAACCTTGAGTACAGTTAAACCAAAGCTTTTTTTACAGCTACCTACGTGCATTACAACACATATGTTACGTGATAAGAATTTTTTGCATTTTAATCAGTCTCGGTGGATGTAGCCATTCAAAAAGTTATAAAATTCGCATAACCTAATTGTTTAAAAATTAGCAAATACATATAACTTATTCCAAACCCTGTAAGATTTACAGTACATTTCCTACTGCAGTAATGAGTTTTCAGTATTGAAAAATGAACGGAATTATATAAGTATCTATAAATTATAAATAACAGGTACTTTTATTACTTGTCATGCGGAAAGTCACCAAATAATGATCACTGCTTAGATCATTTAAGTAAACATATTGCCTATCTAGAAAAACATACATACAAATATTACAGACAACGAGATTACCCTTCTTCTTCCTTTGGGTCAGGTGAAAATTAAGGAAATGTACATAGTGCATTACAACTTAAGAGCTTAAAAAACAATAACGGTACGACATTGCACTTGGAAGTAAATAATCTGATCAACATTTAATTGAAAATAAGTTTAAGCAATAGATGCAAGTTAAGCCTCATGTATCCATGCTTGTGAATTATCTATTCGACTAGTCTTGTGAACTCAACTGCAGCTTCATCCTGTGTATATAATCTACCTCGTTTTCTGCAGCGTGCCACTATGGCTGCTATTGCAACGCAAAGGGCTATTAGAACCACAGCAGTTGTGATAAGGGATAATACTAATGTTGTGGCTGTGTTACCATCACTAGAAGTATCATTGACAAAAATATCAGTTAAAGGTGCTGGTTCGTGCCTTATAGTAGATGCTGATGAAGAGTTCTCAGACTGTGAGACCTCGGTCTTTGGTAATGATGCAGTACCGTTTGCACCTGGAACAATATAGTTAATTTATTATACTGTTATTATTAAGTTGTAAACATTTATTAACTGATTAACTGCACCTTGGAGAAATCTATATATCTTATGTGGAGACAGCTCCACAACATAGATTTCATGGCCATTTTCTGTTACAGCTATACTGTGCGGGGTAGTCAGGTCTTCCCCAGGTGTGAATTGTGATACAATATATCCAGTATGAAGGTCTAGTACGAAGCCACGTATATGTACACTATTTTCAATAGCTGGATCTTTACCGTTAACGAGATAAATCTTTTCATGAGCATATGCGATACTGTAGATTTTTGTTCCTATAGCAGGGTCTTTGTATTCTTTGTAGAAGGTTCCATTGTTTGCGTAGAAACATAAAATTCGGCCATTTTCACGATCAGCAACAAGAATATAATTAAATTCTTCAGCTAGTGCCAATGCGTGGGGTACAAAAAGTACATTTGGTGATAGCAGCTGGAATGTTTTATCTGAAATAATTTTGTTTAACTTTCAAGAATGAAAATAATGGTTTGTAAGATTATTCACTTGTTTTACGAAGATACCTTCAGGTCTCCATTTACGTCCCCATTGTAAAATTCGTTCACCATTCTTGTCAAATTTAATTATTCTAGAATTGCAGTAACCATCACTGACGAAAAAATCTCCATTATTTCTTACAGCGACAGCTGATGGCTTGCAAAATCTTTTGTTATCATTTCCGGGTACGAATGCTTCGCCCAAAATTAATGATGGTTTTATTATACTGTTTCGAAACAAGTCATTGTCATTATCATTATCAAATATAGCACTTTTGGGTGCTGACTCCATCTTTTTTAATCTTTCTAGATTACTCTTAATATCCTTTGCATCGAATTTGAATACTTGATGCATTGCCACATCTGTAACCCAGTAATTTCCAAGGGAGTCAATAGTCAGTCCATGAGGTAAATAAAACATATTACTGCCCCATTTCAAGATCTCTTTTCCAGTCTTGTCAAGTAAAACTATGGTATTCTGTTGAATCGGTCCATATCTCCGATCGAATTTATTTTCATTGTCAAATGTATAGCTTCCCCATATGCGGTCGCCTCTGTGAAACACTGCTATGTTGCCATCAGGGTCTATTGAAACAGCTGATATTTGTCCAACCTTCATATCGGAAGCCCAATTAGAATCCCAACTAATATCTAGTAAGGCAATAATGAAAAATCCAATAAATTAGACATCAATTTCCAACATATATTTAGCCACTTTAGCATCACTCACTTGGATCCGTTTTATCTGAAAAATTGGTGGGTACACCAGTAGCTAAAGGATGCATATTTCCTAACTGCGTATCCTTTTGGTCCCATTGTGGCCCCTTTTCTCTATCATCAGTATAATCCAAGTATGCATTAGAACTAAATTTAATCTCTGGCAAGTGAACTGATTTTTTCTAAAACAATACTTCATATATATTCATTTGTTCAACATATTCACAAGATGTATCTAAGGTTGCTCCGAAGCAATATATTACAATTAATTTGTAAACTCACCTGTACACTGGGTGACTTATAAAACTTAGCATTTACTGAAAACTTCGCAATAAATATTAGCAAGATAATGAAGATACTGTCATATCGAGCGTGCGTCATGCTTGCATGAAAAAACCATTAGGTTTTCTTCTACTTAAAATCCTAAACTGTTCTTCAAAAACAGTCTTTTAAATTCACAATGGGAGATCTTTACTATAATATTAGATGTCTTCATGTATCTACACACGTATCATAAAGCTCACTTTTTTGTTACACTGTCAAATTTTAACAGTTATACTATACAACAAAACGTATGCGAATCACAAGTCTTCTAGAGCAGCAAAATTCTAATAGTAAAATGATGGACAAACGACTGTAAATATGCCGAACAGCACTGTCGATGTTTCCACTGAATTAAACACTAGGAGAATGAAGATACTCGACACTATTTCTTTTCTTTTCTAAACTCATAATCTCGACATTGACAAGTGGCATATGGCTACAACATATGCCACCAGGCATATTCGCGACAGGTGACATAGCATACAAAACGCTATTTTACCTACAGTGAGTGACCGATAGTCGGTCACTCCATTAAATAAGAGTACTCATTGAGGGAAATATAAGACATTCTAATTTTAAAGAGTGCTGGCAGCATTTTATTTCTCGTTAGAGTTTAGTCTATAATTGTTTTCTTTTTTTTTTACAATATCATTACTATAGTTTCAGGCATTTGTGAAACTAATAATTAATGTTAACACACTATATCGAAAAATTTTATATATTTCAAGTAAAAGGTGTGGTCATCATTTTCTTATAAATTTCACAATACCTTTCACTTGCAATTAACGCAATCACAAAACATATTACAATCCACGTAATTATCTTGTTGTTTTTTTATATTATAGTAATATTTTGACCATGAGAAACTCCGATCGATATTGTTTTTATATTTCTTGTATTGAATAACTCCACCCGTAAAAGTAATTTCATGAAGGTATTGCTTTGAGATCGTTAGTTTAATTAATGGTAACATTATTAATGCTGTAGTTGGTAATAATATTTTCTTTTTTTTTCATCAAGTTGTTCTCATATGTTAATTTCGTCGACTGTCAACGAAGAAATTGTTACATTTGTACAAGTCGTTATTATTAAGGCCCTATTAAAAATTCTCATCTGCTTCCTTCGATTTTAGTCTAATATCCTTTCATTAAAATAGATATGAGTAAGCCCAAGATGTCTATTTTAATGAAAAAAATAATTGAATAACTAAACACTATGTTTTCGATTCTAAAGCTATTCGTTTGGTCTTGTCTCATAATATTTTGAATAGGACAAGCATGGCTTTTAATATTTTTCACTGAACTGTCATTATTCACTAATTACTAACTGACGCGTGAAAAACAAATCCATCAGATTTAAAGGTACTCTTTGCTACGTTGAATTACAATCACTGTCGTACTTGTTGAACAAGGGAGCAATATCTATTATAATACATAATTTAAAAATATATAGAGCGACAGAATGCATTTTCAAAGTAGCTTCAGATTATATATAATGTATTCGTTTACTGCACGGCAGTTTATTATGGGCATTTAATTGGATTTCAATTATGACTCTTGCTCCTAATTGATATTGAGTAACAAATATCCCTTAGTCGGTACTAAATACGTCTAGTATGCAAAATATATGGTGTATCCTGGATGTAAAAATAAATATACTTTCAAGTATAGACTGCTGAACTTTATCTCCCGATGCAATCAAGGATCGGGCAATCGTTAACGACCAGTACTTCATATTCTAAGTAAGATATTTCCTGGCCGTTTAACGGTATGTAACATCCTTGATGATCTGGCTGTACCTTGCCGATATAATAGATACCATCATGAAGAATTCTACCAATAAATAATGCATTGCCATCTTCAGTTTCACCTGCTGGTAAAGCGTAGAGTGGTACACTGCCTTGCCAACCTTTAATCCAGTTAATATCTTTGCCACAAAGAACTTGAAAATCCTTCTTCTCGTGCGCAGCGCCACCCCATGGGAGCGTGCACACGTTTGATCTAACGCCACCAGGAGTCACTGATTCTCTATGATGAGCACGTCCAACATAGAGACCATCCTCCGATGCCATTACTGCATTGCGAGGCAGGCCCTCAGCATCGTTATAGTCTATCCAATAGTTTGCAGTCTCCAATAATTGTTGTCGAACAGCTGGAGATGTTAAACGGCATTCTGTGAAATATGTCATTTGTTCATCATCTTGTTATAATTAAAGTTAATATTGACATTGGAAAAGATTATTTTGTATTATTTTCTTTTTCATCGTTTTATATTAAGCAGTGGAACATACTCCGATTTACCTTCAATTATCCACTCTCCAGTTGCACCCCATGCAGTACCTACACCAATATAGTTTATCACAAAGGGATCTCTGTCTTTGTATGACATGAACGAGTCATCTTCTTCATGTCCTACACTAAGTAATCCATCGCATGACCATCTAAAAATATCCAGTTGCACCGTTCTCCTTTTATTGTTAGTGGTAACTTTTACTACTTCTTGATACAATTCTTACACTTACTGTAACCAGATGTCACATATTTCATCACCACCTAATATTTCTCTAGTATCAGCCTCTGCTACATCTGGTTCCATGTTATTCCTTTTTATCGCTGACATGGTATTACCCCAGCCACCAATGACGATCTTTAATAAAAGGACAAGAACTGTTTTTACAATATTGAGCGATAAACAATATACCATGCATATAATCACTGTCTAATAAGGTTTGAGAGTATTAACATACGATACTTACTTCATATGCATTTGAATCATCTCCAAGATGTGTTCTAAGAGCGATTCTTGCATCGTGACTGGCTTTTACACTCAAACTCACTCGAGACTTAGTGATAGGAAAATAGCAAAAGTCTAAGCTATCTATAGTGTTGATTCTAACTGAAAATCAAAATGTATCATGTTATTGTCATCATAACAAAGATTCTTCCTAAGCTTGTATATGACTGAAGTATTTTATCAAGCAACATCGATGCCTTTAGCATGAAAGGAAGTAATAGAGTTTGACCCTGACTACTTATAGTAGTTCACTATGTTCCTGTGCAATAAATTTACGAATATCAGGGTAACATTAGCCGGTGACGCCATAGTTTAGGAATTTGTTATGTCCAGCAATGTCAACGGCACGTAAAACGAGCCTATAACTCAGAACTTTGATGTCCAATACAAGGTAACCAACTCATCTGAATCAATTTATCGAAAGGGAGAAGCATAATCGATACCAGTTTTTGGAATATTCTTAATTAAACTAACATGCCGACAAATATTTCCTATAATATTTTAATGCAAATAATGAAATACTTACTGAAAGGCATGACAGCCTGAACATTTGACGTTACGGCCACAGGCCCAGTCAGCTGCCAGCTGTCTGTCTTCTTAACTAGTAGCGATATCTTGTGACGACATCACAGTACTAGTTCCAAACTAGATATTCCTTATCTATTCGGGAAAAAACAAATATCAATTATTCTAATTACTTGACTATTTAAATTATTTAATATCCTGAACTGGACTACAGAATTGTACAATTTTTAACAATAAAATCGAACAATTATGATTTATCCATTTTTTATCGCAGGTCTACGTCCGTTATAATGAATTATTTGTGACGGATCCATATGGATGAGACGATCGGTATTCAAGTTTTCGAAATTCACGAATTCCTCACGTATACTCTCCCTGCAAGTCTTCATCTCCTCTGTCAATTTTGATATTGTATTCTTCATGATCTCGTTAGATCTCTTTAGATTTTTGTACGCTGCAATAAAATATGTTATCAAACATTCTATGTATAAATCCTTTCCAGTATAGTTTATAATTCTAAGATATGCGTACCTTGTCTCTTGTAAATCTCATTCTTTTCTACAGCCCGTTTCAATTGCACCAAAGGTTTTAATACTCTTCCTATCCAAGTACCGTCCGAATAATTATTTTCCACAATAACTAATTGTCCAAACATATTCTCGTAATCATTTACGTACTCGTCCAGTCGATCCACTGCTGTGAGCCACTTCTTGTCGCGGCATAGATCCTTATTAGAAATTTTAAAAGACATACCAATACGTGAGTCCATATTAAAAACTCTATATAACCTCTTTCAATTAATTAATAACGAATCATCATGTTCAACTTTTTTATAGTCATTCCATTTCTTCTTCATTCGTCTGTCATGCCGCTTTGAAGTCCGTTGACAGATGACATCACGATAACAGGATCTCTATAAATTTGAAAAGTTTAAAGAATATCGAAAAAAAGAGTATCGATTTGATCTAAAATCAAATATCAAAGATATAATTTATTAATGACAACGTACGAATGAACGTTACCGAGTTCTTATATAAGTGAAACTCTAGAAGCTATTCGTTAACTCAGTTGTCATAGAAGATTTATTCGAAATGAATTTAAAAAAATAATTGTTACATTTGGTTTCCATATAAAAGTCGTTATAAAATAATTCAAGTATCAGTGGCGCTTACCATTATTCAAAACTTCAAAGTGACCACGCATGCGCACACCATCCATTCTACCTACAACTGTGACACGTTCACTTCTCCGAGAATTCGTTTGCTTAATAACTGTCCAGAATTCGAACTCGATTATTCCCTCATCAGGAGCGTAGAAGCGTGAAAGAGCCGCATAAGTAAACCTAACCTATTATAAAATCATGCCAGTCGCATCACCAGATCTTATGTCACTAAGGGCCACTTATTGCCAAGCCGCAATGCAGTGAACAACTATCCTCTTTAATTCCATATATGATGTAGCCACCACGTGCTCTTATATACATGTATATAAAGCATACATACAAGATTATATCTAATCCAATTAAGACACAAACTTTCCGGTCCACGAATTGAACCATTTCGATGATTATTGGATGGGATGAAGTCATCGCTTGATTGAAAAATTTTTGTTGGTTAGTTTTTCTTCAATCTTTTTCTTAATAAGATATCAACGTCGTAATGGAAGAAACTTATGTTTTATTTTATTTGCAGCATCAGTCGAGCGATGAGGTTGGAAATTTTTAAACTTTCCATGTTTCCTGTATCAAAGGAGGCTCAAATTAGACGTCTGTATACCAAATTCCATTCTTATTGACTGCAGTGGTACGTAGGCCATCTTTGGTACTCAGGTACTTTAATACTCGGTAACCATACGAAACGTACGTATCTGGACGTCTGCTGGCACAAAGCAAAGTGAGTTTAGTTTTTGAAGCTGTCGGATGTGCTGGAGCGGTGTAGCGCGCTGAGTTACATGCATGACTCTGCGTACGTCGAAGGATGACTTGAAAGATCTTACTACGGGATTGTCAGCCGAGATGAACGCCGCTCAAGAGATCGTTTCAGGATCGGCAAGAGATGCTGTAGAACCCTGCCAAGAAATCTCGTATAATAAGCCCTTAAAAATGGGCATTAAAAAAATACCTGCAGTGGATCAGAAATGAAGTAAGGAAAACAAATTCTTTTTTTTCTTTTTACATCACAAGTAACATTGACAAATCATTAAGAGCTGTTGATCGTCGTTAACGACGGATACACTTTTTTGTACTTGTACGTATCTGACAAAGTTTTTAAAATATTTTTTTATCAACATCTGCCCGTTCCCTTGACCATTTTTATTTGGAACGTCTTAAGACGGCCCTGTATCAACTCGACCTGAACCCTCTACCCCATACTTCACTTCATGGGGGTATTATGGATCACGAAATGGTTTGATGAATAGGATCGCACACCCTAACGATCATTCTAAATCCTGGTAGGTTCGACGTATACATATAAATACCATCAATGATTGGTAAATGTTTGTACAGTGATGTCTTGACCAGAGGTTGTCCGCCATGGCCATTATAATCCGATTCTCTATAGACTTTTCCTTTTGAGGTGTATCTGTGGTATACTCATTTTGAAAAGTTTGGCACCCTTTTCTTGTATACACCCTTTCAAGGGCTTTCGATACTTTATTCGGAACATAAGGGTCGACAGGATGGAGTGAATCTAATTTTCTTTTATTCTCACATAAATTTTCAATGGAATCATTCTTGTGTATATATATATATGGTGTTTGGTATATTTTGAACATAAGCTTTTGAAACCGTTGAGCATCCTTGCATATGATGGTCATTATAATAAAATGATCTTCCAGTCGTGAATGTTCGCCATTAAGCGACATCTCATTTGGCATTGTCCATAAATGACTGCCATTGGTATTCCAATGGGTACCTTTATATGCTCGTGAAATAATAATAAATAATATATGATTGGGTATATTTGTCGCTAGTAAATTTATACTGACAGGCCAGTGTCTTACATTGGAAATAATGTGTCAGAAATCTATCAAAGAGTATTGCCATTGATTATTCTTTCAGACTATTCTGATGTGAACGTTGAGCATAAATTTCGTATTATTTAAGAAAATAATTTATTAAACAAAAGAAAACATGTGATAACGATTGGTTAATGATTTACAGAGTGGATGGACCACTTTGGGACAAATTGGTTGAAGAAAACTTTACTTTCTTACCATTGCACTGATAAGAGATATCTTTGGGAGAATTCGAATACTCAAAGGATATATCTAGTGGTAGTGAACTATACCATAATTCCTCTCAATAATGATCTCTTAAAAGGTACTTCAGGTACTTCACTTCACTTCAGGTAATCACTTCAGGTAACGCTTTTAAGATACTCTGTTTAATCTCTCTTTACTAACTATACTATACTAACTAACTCTATAAGCTTTATAGTTAAAACTACTGTTATTACACGTGTTTCAATATTTTTATAAATTTTTGTAAGAATCGATGGTAAATCATGTAACGATGATCATTGGAAATTTTACAGTGCCCGGAATAGCCATGAAATTTGGGTATGGAATTTAGTTTACATGTCTGCAGACGATAAACGTCAAGGAGCCATCGTTTGGGATTTATTAAATATAAAAGTAATGATCCGCTCGTGACGGCCATCTCGAATGATAATTTATTTATCGTGGATTGGTCCATCGGCCGATCAAGGATCGTGGCTATCGAGAAGCGATTCGTCTCAATCATGTCACGGGCATCGTACGTTACGTCGGCAACATCCTGTGGACCATTAAAAACCACTCCCTCCGTATCCTTAAGGATTCTTATTCACTCTTTCATAATGGCATCCCGTAATTCTCTCTCTGTCGTTTATTCCTTGCACTAACCTACTCACCAGTCGACCCCATGGTGCCGACCTACCCCATGGGTTGATCAATCTCGGTCTGTCCTGTACATAATCGAATTGATTTGACCTCTTTGCCACTTTGTACCACGTGGAGGTTACATACTCAGAGCACGTGTTACATTCCACATATGACACAGTACGCATACGTAATATATACAGACATAAAAAAATCAGTACTATTAAAAAAATTCCTGGATCATTATAAGTACATCAATTTTATTGACTAATTGATCCAAGTATGCCGGGGCACTTGTGTATGCTGATTCTTTTTTTTTTCATTTCAGAGAATGATGTTTCAAGTGTATCCGGCGATGATGATTCAGTTTATCATGCTTCGTGACTACCGTATCGTTTTTGGCCTAGTTTCTCTACTGATTATTTTTTTAATGACTGCTGTGGCGTGTCGAGCCGGTTTTGCTCTCAAGGGCAATTAAAGGATCGGCATCGAAAACTCCATTTTGGTAATATAATGGATCTCTTTTCTTTTTTATTATCGTTTTAATTATTATCTGATCATTTTAGTCGCTTCCGAAATGTCATCCTGAGGAAGTGCTATGGGGACTATTGTAAGTGGATTCACTATACTAATCGGGCACACAGTACGTCGTAAGTCAATTGACAGTTGACACGACCCAGGACGTGCCTTTTCCGTTGTGGAAGTTTCGTTGGGCACTCCCATGGCATAGAAGTGCGTTCAATCGGGGATCGATTCGATGCGCACGGATCAAATCGATACCGTTGTTGATCAGTTTGATTTGAAAAAGGTAAAAAAGTTTTTTTTTCCTAAATTAATTTTTTTTATTAATACATTCAATTCGGAGGGGTCGCTCCATTAATTTATTGGCACTCTAGGTACATTTTATATATCCTATACATCAAAAGGAATATGGAGACACCACGTGAGGTCTTTTTCAATCCCCTGTAATATAATTTTACCAAGAAAATCTCATTGCTCCATGAAATAAATGCAGGGGCCTTAAGTATCAACCTTTCTTGCTTTGGTTTCGTATTAGCCCAAAATACAAGACAGTCCCATAACAATGGAGCATCATATATCACTGCAAGTTCTCTTTAAGAGTTCTGGCATTGCCCTCGAAAAGCAATGGAGCCGTTCAGGACGTGAAACAAGTATCTTTACATACGGAGTTTCATGGTGAGACTGTTCCAGGCTTATTTTACCCACGTCAATAAGAAATAGTGATATTATATAAAAAATGTTGAGACTCAACACTCAGTAGTGCCATACAAATAAAATATACTTTATTCCAACAATCTGATTAGGCAGGACCCCTCTATTCAGATAATCCATTAGATTAATTTTTACCTGGACTTTATTTATCTCTACTTGCACCTCACTTTGGGATGGTACACTCTTCTTTAATGTATGTCCCATAGAAAAGTCTTAATGGTGCAGTTTATACGATGCAACATCCGGGCCGAAGCGTCGTACCCTAGACACAGAATCGCCTTCATTGTGAATAACAGGGTCCCATTGTACCAAAGTCCTTTTGTATACCTACGTGCCCTTAGTATTACTCTGTGCAACGGCTTCCACCTTAACCTAACAAGGATCCAAAAAGTACACAGCCTACATATGACCCCAAACAAATTTTTACCCAGTACCTAGGTAAAAGCAACCTAGCAAAAGAATATCCAGGTTCATCATACAAAGCTAGGTGTCAGATACCCCTGGTAAGATGACACAATAAAATAGTGAAGAACTTTAAGACCCAACCGTCTGAAGTACCAGTGTGGGACCTCCAAAAATTGAGGTCGTATATTTTATCATTAAATTGCATAATATTTATAGAAATTTTTTTATAAGCCACTGACAATGCCAAAAAATGTATCTATTTTTTTTTACAGTGTATATGGTTTGGATCATTTGATCTCACGCCAGGATATCTACAGGGATGGAGGACAAGGAGGAGAAGCGGGGGGAGAAATACGGCGTGGCTAATTATGTAAATTGCGATTGGACTAAATTAATTGGCTCTTGGTATAATTGAAGGTACCTGCTGTTTGATCGATAGGGAGTCGGTACCCTAAGAGAATTTCTCCACTCCCTGGAATGTCAAAATTCATGAACGTTATCATTCCTCGTCGTTATGTTATCTATTTTTTATTAAATATAAGTCATTTGTCATAAATTTATATCAATCAAGCAAGATTAATATACTGTATAACATGCGTTATCGTTCTTGTCAATGGGTTATGGTGACTGTCTTAATTGTATCGATGATCCTTTTCTTCTTTAATTGTTAAGATCTTTTTTTTTCAAAAACTTTTTTAACGCAGAAGCAACCACTGTCTTCTTACTTCGCGCTCTTGGATCACGATCGGTAACGCAAGTGTAGGTAACCGCATGACGATAATGACTGTTATTTTATCGTGAACGGTAATGCTCTCGCTTAAAGTCGCTCTACTTATACGCATTATCCTGGTAAAACTACGGGCCCGTCTTCGAGCAATCATTTTCAAGCGTCATTACGAAATTGCTTTGGCAAATGAAATGCGAGGGTTGGCTGCACTGCACTTATAGTGAGATTTATTGGAAATCAAAGATATTTCCATTTACACGCATCGTCATACATATATATAAATTTACGAAGTAATATCGAAAGCCAATACATATTACAAATCGATATAAATTGATATCGATTCAATATACTTGTTATCGATTGATTTCCGATTAAATCATTTATCCTCGTCTATTGTATTTATTAAGAAAACTGTAGTTCACGTGTACAGTCAGACGTATTATAGTTCAACGACTGCATAGATATCCAATTACACAGCGCAAACGTAGTAAGAAAGAATGTATCTTGCGGCAGTAAAAGTCACGGCCAAAAAAAATTATTAATCTCGTTCTTTGATTGGTCGAGGAGTATCTGCCTTCCAGGAATTCGGTACATTATGGCAATGCTGCATTAAACCCATCTTCTGGTATCTAAGTACAAATTGACGTGGGACACGCTTCGACGAATTTTATCATCACCCTTAGAAGGCCAACGTCACTCGTAACTGAGTCGAAGTAAAGAAAAAAAAAGATACGACTTAACGAAAGAAAATTTAGATAATTTTTGTTTATGGAAAAATTTGTTTTTTTCAAAATCACAAACATTCTATAAACTCCTAAGGTATATTTATTGTAAAATATAAACGAACGACATTTTTCACGGTCGTCGATAATAATTTATCGTATATTTCGCCTGGTTCTTATCAGTCGTCTCTGTCACTAACTTTTTTAATGAGACATCCTGACGCCTACGTGTTCTACAATTTTATTCTTTCTCATATTTTTATCTCAATTCACGATTGCGCTTTCAGAGGTCGCACATGGGTAGGGAAGGACTATTTGCTTTCGTGAATTTTTGTCAGCTCATAAATTTCGCACGTTCAAGCAACGACCTTTTACGTTCCGTGTGAATTTTTCTTTCGCGTTGCTCTTACTGCGCCACGTATACATTGTACTCGTTTCGAAGTTTGCCTGGAAATGAATTTACGAGGCCATAATCGCCAATTGAGATGAGGACTTGGGGCTGCGTGCAATCGGTCGGCCTTGTGGCAAAACGTTGCACTCTGTTCACGTTGCGAATTACTCTGCATGTACATACACGCGTGCATATATAAAAGCCGTGCGTATATAGATATACAGTAAGTTAGAAAATTAAATGCCAATGGAGGTCTGTTGAGAATTTTATCGGTATGTCAAATCGCAAGCTGTCACATTTCTAGAATAATTTTTATTTTATTCCACGTCAAGACTGCCCGAGCATCTTATACAGGCGCCAGTCAGTATAAGCTTTCATGTGACGTATATCGACGCCCGTCTTTCTTTCACGAGAGTCCGTGCGGCTACTCATATTCAATTTTAATTTTTTCTTCTACCGGGTCGCCTGGATCGTCGAACGATTGTATCGATTACGAATTTTCGTCTGAACGATGACGTAGCCAATATGGCGCCCACATTGTTACGCGAGCGATTGGTCGCGTAAGTTGCGACGAAAAATTTAAAACGCGGGACATCTGGTTTATTTAAACTTCGTAAAGCAATCGAGTGGGATTTACTCGCATCTGCGGATTATCAATTGCAAAGAGTATCAGTAAAGAGCAACGCCTGGCGTCGTACGTTCTTTCTTTTTTAATCGTATTTTAATCAACTGTGTTTACGTTACTCTGGGTAATATATGTGATATAATTTATGTCTTAATATACTATGTTTTCGATAAATAATTATATATCGCAATTGTTAAGGGATACTCGATCCAAGAGAAATACTTGCATTTTTTTCGTCGATTCTTGTAATTACAGTCATTAACGTGTCTGTGGGACATACGCGTGTGTATTCTGCCAATATCTCCGGTGCAATGGGATATGGTTTTTCATCATGCGAAAGTCAATGCATATTATGTATATGTGTGATCTGCCAATATTTTTGCAGGCTTCATTTATAATGGCGCCAGTCTGTCAGTACGGTGGAACGGTAGCTAAGTGATAAAGGGAGAAATGCACTTTTCACTTCATATTCTCTTCCTGTGCATCTCTCGGGTGGTCCTATTGATGATGCAATTTTTCATGCACTTTTTATGTACGTCTCTCTCTCTGTCCACGGTCTCTCTCTCTCTCTCTCGGGAGAGAGAGAGAGAGAGAGAGAGAGAGATTAATAGCTCCGAAGATGGGAAAGAAGATACAAAGGAAGATGATTGTTATTGTTTATTAAAAAAATGTGATATTTATCGTATATATTTTTTAAAAGGCATTTTCTATCTGGACATTTTTTTATCTCAATGTTTACTTTTTTTATTGTTGATTGTATCACGTAGTAGAATTTCAATGACAATAGGAGTAATCGATGATATATTAATATCTGTGCGAGATTAATAATTGATATATTAAATATTTTACATGGTCTCAGGTTTTGCTTTTTTTGTTTTCTTTTTTTTAGCCAGCGTAGGAGCACCGTATCGAATTGCGATCTTCGGTCGAAGAGCTCTTCGATAAATTCTTCATCTAGCTGGAACCACTTACAATGGGGAACACCTTTTCGTGATCGCATGTTTGCGGCACGTGAAATAGTGTCCAAATTATAGGTCAGGGTGTATAATTCGACGAAGCGTCGAGCTGGGTCGCGGTTTGAGAAAAAAAAAAAAGAAAGAAAGGGGGAAAAAGTAATACAAAAAAAATAATAAAAAAGCCATTTCTTCGAGCAGACCAGTTAAGGGTAATATACCACCTTCGTTTTGTATGTTTTTGTTCACCTTTATCATGTCTCTGATCTTTAACCAGGCTTTTACACAAATTCAAATTTCCCGCTCAATCATATCGATACTTCTCACAGAATCGATATCTTCTACGCTGAAGTCGAAGGACTCGGTAAAGTCGCGTCGTATTCTAGTCACTGTATAGGATTCTTGATCGATCGATTTCTCTCAATGGGGTTAATGGATCGAACGTTGATCAGTTTTTCTTAAAGTTTCACCGTTCACACTGCTCGCTGTACACTGGAGGAATGCGGGTATAGATACACAAGTATGTAAACAGTCACTTTCAGTTTTCCTCGTAAAATTCAGATGTTCGTTACATAACATAACCTGGAATAAAATTCAGAGCGGTCCTAATTACGATTATTTGTTTAATATTACAAGATCTAAATAATCGTTCAACTTACTCATTTAAAGTAGAAACGTGTTCCAGTAATAAGTGACAGTAGTCTTCACGCCGGTATTTAACAGCGTCTCGCGATATATCCTTCATTTTCGACAATTAGCCCGCGATAAGGTTTACCTTACTGTTTATATATAACCGATAAATACCGAATCATGTGTAAAAGAGCAATGACACTCTTTGCTGTTGGCATATATTGACTTTTAGCTGACGAATATCACCGACTGGTACTGGCCCTGTCGTCATGGCGCCATATTGCAAATATATTTATTCAAAATCACAACTGTGTATCTGTCCACTAATTTTTATTAAAAATTCATCCAAGTACTATACTTGGTTCTTATTGTTATGTCTTATATTTAATTATCAATTATTAATATATTATATTCAACTGTCTCACGTAGTAACTATCTTACAGGCACATTAACACTAGATTTACCAGACCAGTCATTTTGACTTGTCGTGTAAATTCAATTCAAAATTCCTACTACATATATCATTTGATTTCGGCAATGATGTTATGACTTTTGTAGCTATAAGTAGAGAATACATTTTATAAACTTAACGTTATTTTATATACATTAGTAACAAATATAATTTTTGTTATTGACATTTATACCAGTACCAGTCAAAATGAATAAATAGATGGTAAATCTAGTGTTAAGGAGGAAGAAGTCAGCTAGAAGCCAAGAGAGGTTATGATACGTGTATAACCAGTTAATGGGCCACTGGGCCAGCACGCTGTCCACAATCCGACACCACGGGGCAACGATTGGTCATTGTACGCGTGTCTCGTATAGATCCTCCTCGACACCCTGTTCCTCTGGATCACGGATCCCTTCACGCCTGATTTATCCCCGGGATTCCGAGCTGATTTTATACGTCAAGGAAGACAGCCTACTAGGAATAACTACAGTGGAATAAAATTATTCTACTGCTATGGTACACGCGGTACGTATACATACACAGATAAATTCTTCAATCGTACAATAAGTGTCTGATCAATGATATTCTTGCAATTGTTTTTAGGTTATGCAACAGTTGGATGGACTACGTCACAACGGGAATACGTATTTAACGTATGAATTACCTAGTCAGCATTGTAACAGTGAATGTTTTGTGCTGTGCAGCATGAGGTCTAGTACTTTTGATCATTTCTCGCATGTATACGTGTCTATTAATAAGAAAGGGACTCAGTGGAGAGAATTCATCGAGCTTTTTCACCACTTGAAACTCATCTGCCAATCAGCCGGCTCTTCGCCATACTTCGCCGTGCGAGACGTAACGCAGAGTGTGTACGTGAACTTAAGATTTGACCTCGCGTCACATAAATTCATTCGTCGCATCCCGGTATTTAAGCAATCTGATTTACGCTCGGTTAGAATGCACCAAAGGATGGTTTTCACGCCTGGTATTGTGAATGGCGCAGAGCACGTTGAATCAGTTCCATTGTTCCGTCTGTACAATGATAGAAATCATTGGTACACCGCTGGAAATCGTTATACGGTAGTCGCCTATGGTCAGTGTACATACATAATAGCATGATTATTTAAAAGATAACAATACACTTGAAACCTGCAGAACTAAGGCTTGCCTGATGTTTCAGATTGTCCCAGAGCATTTGATTCCTGGAAAGCTTTCGCAATTAGGGTTGAGTTTTTTTTTTCAATTAAAAAACAATTCGATCATTGACAGCTGACAAATAGGCTTACAAGACGGCTTAATGAGAATTTCCTGTGAAATATTCTATGGGAAGGTTATGAACTATGATTTCTTGAGTCTCCAGCACAGCATCCGCTCTGTATCTTGTCTGTCTTGTGTGATCTTTCGTAGAATATCAGTTTACGTATTTGCTTATATCACGGGATTTATGTCTTATTCAAGTAGATCGTCCTTCTTTTTTTTTATATCTTTTTTTTTTTTTCTTTTCAGATTATCTCAACTTGCTCGCGCCGCTCTTTCGCCAGTCCAACCAATGGCTAAACGTTTCGCGGATTCGACGCGTGTCTTGGTCTACTTCATGGGGATGCAATGGACCTGATGTGCATCCGGGGATGCGTCGACAGACTCCACCTACCGCTCCACTGGGAGACTATAAATTCTCCAGCTCTCCCACTTTTACCGCTATCACTCGCGTTGCGGCAGCCTGCGAGTCCGCACGCCCGAAACAGGCTCCCCACGTTCTCTCTTATGTTCTGTATTTTATTGCCGCTTTGCTCCGTTTTATTTTACTACGTTAACACGCTCGGCTACGCTCCGATCGATCCCTCGTACGACACCCGCGAACCGGTTACCGTCTGCCACGCGAAGAAATACCTAGTGTCTTACTCGTGTTTTACGTGAAATACGCGAAACAGACGCCGGCAATTATCCGCAAATACATTCGGGCCGATACGAATATGTACACTTTAAATTTATTGTGTAAATTGGTGCTCGTGTCTTCATGGTAACTATGTGAAGATCGATCGAGTCATTCTTTTTTTTTTTAATTAAACATTTCGTGCTTTTATGTGAATCCGATTGAAATGTTTATATATAATATGTTACTGGAACGTATTTACATAATTGGATTAGGAGATTGTGTATGATGGTACGACTTAGTAGATAAGCAGTGACATTTCTTTATGATTAATGATTCTGTGCACTTTAACTTGATTGATGTTAATCAGATTAATTTGGATTTAAAGGTATCGAATAATTGACAGTAGGCTTATACCAGGCTTTGTATCAGAGTCCTTTCATTATTTAAACTTGCCGCCTTTTCTGCTTACGGGTACCACTGTGTTATCAGCGTAATTACGATCGCTTAATTTTCATGATCTAATTCAATTTTATATAAAAAATCATTATTGAATCTGTCAAAGTCACGAGTATCTCTATCTCTCGTACGAAGGCATCGACTGCCGGTAAACCACGTGTCATCCTTACGTAATAACGGAATGACTTATCATATGTATAAAATCATTGTAAATTCGCACATGAGAATCGAGAAACACTCCGCGAGTCACGACTGACTTTTTTTTTTATTAAGATAGCCTGACCAAGCAGATGAGAAATCTATTTTAAAAAGATAATATAATCATTAATCACAAACAGTATATAGATCTGTTAAAACAATATAATCACTACTATAAACTCGTTTATCACGATTCTCATGAAAATTGTAAATCTTGAGATGAATTAAAATAGATCACTACCGATCTTATCTGTATGGATCAATCGCAGCATCCAAAGTGCATCGCGCTTATACATATTATACACGGTCAATCAAATCCTCCCTATAAAGTCATCGAGCTAGTCAATACGAATGGGACTTCCGTTTGACCACCGTTTAAGCCAGGATGATTTGATCCAATCGCAACTCATCTAACGGTCAGGGGGGAGATTCGATCTCGTATTTAGAATCGAACAATAATGAAGGCCTCGTGGAAAAGCTCACAAAGAGTGCCGCCCATATGATGCAGCACGTAAGAAAATCTATAAGATTTTCATCCGGAGAATATCTTCAGGATGCAAGTGGTACCTGCACCATAAGTCCTGCCGATTCCGAACGAATCGATTGGTTTATCGGTAAGGGAAAAAGAAAAGAGTAATAACAATGGTACAGTCGAGCGAAGAGACGAAAAACTAATTGAAGCCATAAGAAGTGGGCCTTACGTATTTGTTCTCGCATAAATTCATAAGGGGACCCATGGCTCGTTCGAAACGCTTTTTAAATAAGATTACCGTTGGTTGCATTCGGTACCTTTGGTCTTGTATCTATGGGACACCATAAACGAGTAACACTCGGTTAACGCGCTACTTCCCTAAGCGCTTCGGCCGCGGTCCGTGTACGCGCATAGGTGCGTGCATAAATATTTATGTGACACGTTGTACCGAGCGAGGACCCCGAAAGAGGCCCCAAGCTAATTAAATGCAGAACTGCCGCGGAGCGAATGAAAAATTCGTGATTTTCGTCAAAATCTCTCAAATTTATTTAATATATTTTTATAGAAACTAATTTTTATTCGTAAGGCTACCTCGTCCGCGGTACCAGGAGATTCATGGATATCCTACGAAATCTGCTGAATTCCATCCGCAATCTGATCCAATTTTCTATGGCGTCGTTCGTGTCGGTGAATCGACGTGGAATATGTATATCGACGCGGGACGTCGCGACGTTCAATGTCGGGTGAGTATTCAAAGATTCTTTTTAATATTCGAATTTTTTTCTTTTTTTCAACATCTTATTTACGACTCATAAATTTTATGAATCACGAGTCAAAATACCTTCGTCGCAAATGCAGTATTGGACTTTACGAAAAATTACGTCTGTCAACCGATAACCGCAACTGCGAGTTTACTTGTCGTTAAACGATCGCTTTTGTATTGCCTACGAACCCGCCGCACGTTTAACTTGGCGCTACAGTGTCCAACGCAAAATCCCTACTCAAAGTTGAGTTTTATGACGGATAGTTGACACGAGCGACGGTCACGTGGCGCTTCGGTCGAACTACATGAGTCGTTACAATGTCCGTAATTGTAAAACAAATAAAATAATCACCGCACAATTATACCTATAATTATAAAATATATTTTAATAGGTTTAAAAAAATCGATATTATTTAAAAAAAAAAAAGCAAAAATTGTTTATAAAACAAAAACATCTAATTACATAATTTTATCAAGGCTACGCTATTGTTCAAAATTACGACCGTCGCCGTTTACACTTTTGAACAATGTACATAGAGAGTGAAGTGTATCCGAAGGAAAATAAAAAAAAAGTATATATTCTCATTGTGTATATACATATATATACCAAGGATAGAAAGATCAACGAGGACTCATTGACACGTCACTTCCTTTGATCTTCGCCGCCACTTTTCATAGTCAAACTCCAAGAATTTAATATTCACTTCTCGTCTTTCCCAAAGATGCTACCAAACCGAAGAAATTGAAGGGCATAATTAATTATGAGAATAAATAACGCCTCGTCTTCCACCGCGTTCATCGAAACGCGCATGAATATACGAGTGGTTAAGAGAGGAGAGAAGACAAAAAAAAGGCAAATCTATAATATTCTTAGGTATTTTCCGTATGCCGTAACAGTGGGAACGCCTTGTACGTACGGAATACCATACCAGCATATGCTACCGCACAAGGAATTCTATTGAGAAACTATATATAGTACGTGTCACACTTATCGTGACTGCTGGGCGAAAGTAATTATTTCATAATTTCACCGAACGATATCCGATAAGGAATACCATCGGACTGAAGAGCATAAACACCCTTACGCGATGCAGAGCATCTTCAGGCACGATGCCATCATCGACATCAGACACAGTCTTGCGAGCTCGTTATCGAATCGACCATAAGACCGTTTCTATGTCGCTATCCAAGCCTATTAAAATAGTACATGCCCTTCTGAGCCTATGCAGCAACGCGGACCCGATGGGCCCGATCGACCAACTCGATGCAACTTTAAAAACAAAGAATAGAAACGATTTCCTAACTGGAGTTTCTCTAGTATCTCTTCCTTATTATACTGTAGCTAGAATCCTTCTTGGATCGCATATATATATTATGTATACGTATATATTATATACTGTACAGTATTTAAAATATTAGATTCCTCGTTGTACACATTAAGGAAGTGCGGTTAGACTTTGATGACTTTTTCATTACCACGCGATAAGAACGATAAGAATTATTTATAGAGATTAATTGGTCGCTCATTTTATACTATATTGAGACTATTGAAGATTTTCGTATAGAGTTTTCTCGGTCGCTTCTTCTGTACAATTTTCGTCTCTCTTGTACACACTTGTTTTGAGGTTATCTTGTCAGACTTTTATAGAGTGTCGTGTGAATTTTCCGGTCGCACGATAGTCACTGCCAAAGACCTTGAGTCTTTACAGTCGCTGAGATACGGATGCATCCGCAATGTATTCTGTCGACGTTCCTGCGATAACCTCGGCATTCGAATGCTCAATGAGGATTCGACTTTGCGGCTGGATCGGGATGGGTTAGCACATACCTGTACTAATAGTGTTCTTTGGTTACGTGCGAATATTGTCAGGGTGCAGCAAGACTGTTAATGAATAATTAATTAACAATTAGAAAAGTGGCACGAAGTGTTTACCTATATTCATCATTTATATAAGAAATTGACATACTGTCAGTATTCATCGTAATTAGATATGAAAAATGAACAAAGTGGGATTGAGATAAAATCTTTATTTTTTTCTTCTTTTTATAAATGCTTAAGCATCTTTTATCTTCTTTGATTTTATTACCACCGCAGGCCGGACACTGGCATTTACTTCCCTTGCGAAGTCTCGTGTTCTCTCATTCACTCTTGCTCCTTTAAATGCATCGTCACGGGCGAAACTTTTGCAACTGGGTATGCGCCTGTTCACACAAACTGCCGCTTGGTCCCCCCCCCCCCCCC